AAGAACGTGCGTAAGACTGACGAGAGCAGCTGCCTCTTTCTCTCGTATGCGTGCGTCCTTTCGCTGTTGTGTGTGTGTGTTTCTTAGCAGTTATGAGCGTTACTCTTCGCTCTTGTGCGTGTGACTTTTTGAGCTTGTGTACGTGATCTTTCACATATTTGAGCACGACTTTTTCTGGCGCGTGTGCAAGCTTTCGCTTATGCTTGTCGGACTGATTTATCCCTGCTACAAGTTTAACGGAGAAATATTCAATTTAAGCACACAGATAACATGCCGTGGACATATCTTCTTTTATATATTTTGGCTTCTTTCACTCCCTTTGTGACGGCTGGTGCTCAATGCAAGACAGAAGTCAATATTCCTGGTATGGCTCTCGATGGTTTCGTCTTCAAAGTAATATCCGTAACAGCCCCACATCAATGTGATATCCGTTGCGAAAGAGAAATCAAATGTCAAAGTTTTAACTACGTCATAGGGGAGAAAGTCTGCGAATTGAATAACCGCACCAAGGAGGCGAGGCCCCTAAATTTCCGCGCTGACCCTACACGGTTTTATATGCGACGTTTTGTCGGCAGAGGTATGTGATCAGCTTAATTAAGCTGCTGGTTGAAAATCATTGGGTGCCTTGATCTTTCCCCGATCAGTACCGCAGTATCGTAGATCGGTAAAAAAGACGCTGAAAAAGAGGTCGGACTTTTCTATGCGAAAAACTCGACGCTGAGCAAACCACAGCAACGAAATTTCTTCTCAAAGATACCCCTTAATCTTTCAGTTCCCTTGGGTTCCGTACCTGAATTACCAGCGATATCTTGCCAGGAAATAGAGGCGAGTGAAGGCAAATACAACATCAGCAACAAGCACTGGTTGGATAGCAGTTTGACGGGACAGGCAGAGTTGGTTGATTGTAGTGACACAGTGAGACGTGAGTTTTAGGTTCTTCTGCCCTTGTATTACACTCTACTGTTTTTACTTCATATTTTATATTTTATACATTCAAGTCTAAGAGAAAATTAATGGACCACCAGCGAGCCTTTGCTTTCTCTTGATTGTAACGACGCCTTTCTTCTATTCCATAATGCTCCATAACTCTTATTGTTTGGTTTGTGACGTCACAGTGGCAATTCAGACGATGATGTTGATAACAAGGACGATGACGATAAGAAAACAATGGCGAAAATTGCGATCAGAAAACAAACGAACACACAAAAATGTACAATGAATCACATTAATTTATCAATTTATCAAATTCCATGATGCTTAATAGTAATTCGTGATACGATTTAACAACAAATACGCCAATTCACAAGGAGCATTTATAACGATAGCCAGTAATATTACTTTCAAATGTCAGTGAGCTGAAAACTCCTGTGGCATGAGATGTTCGCAGACCGTGACATGTAAGTATAAAACCTGCTCTTAAAGGCGCGGCCAAATGCACGCAACATTTCAACATCTTGCAATAATGTTGGATCGCGTTGTAAGATGTTATAAAGGAGCAAAATGTTACTACACCTTGTAACAACATGTTGCTACAGGGTGACCAAACGTGTGCAACACGCTGCGCGCAACAATGTTGCAAGATGTTGCGTTGGAATGTTGCGTGCGTGTGACCGGGCATTGACACTATTTGCCTCTTAACGCTCAATATTGTAACCCTGTCAGCTTATTTCACCTCAGAGATCCCCCCTTATTCAAACTCTGAGGGCATGAGAATAAAGCAACTGATCCACAACTTGAAAAGTTCTTGATCATTCAATTAATTCTCTCTTGTCTATTGTATAGAGGAAATGCTTACTAATGATAGGGTGTAAAGAGTTTATAACTCCCACGATTTTTCCCTCTCAAAAGAGGGTTTAATTATCAAGTTACATCTTGCTTTACATCGATTCACTGTAAAAATCATCCTTAGAAATTTTCACCACTTTCAATACACTTTTTTTTGTCCATTAGATTGTGACGCTAATCCTTGTAAAAAC